CCATCAGCTCTTCTCTATACCCCAGTGCATTCTGCATCTTGGTTCATTGCGTCCCTGAATCTGAGCCTCTTCCCCTCTGCCTTTCACCTGCCCTACTTCTTTGTTATCCTTCACAGTCCACAAACCTGTAGACCCTTTATTACCTTCCTGAGTTCATGATGATCTCTTCTTCCCACAGGCTTATATTTAATTTTGCCTAATTTTGCTTTCTTTGTTCTATGGTCTTCCCACCAGGATCATGAACTTACCTATTTCTTCACAAGCTTGTGATGACCATGGGGCTCTATCCTTGAAGGGTGGGTAGAGTTCTTGGCTGCAATTACATGCCCTGACTTTAGCCTCAGTCCTGTCTGTCACTCACTGATTTCTGTAATTTTAACCAAATCACTTAAACTTTAATAGTCTCATTTTCCCCTCTGTAAAATGGGAATAATAAAATCTGCTGTTTTAGAATACAGCGGTCACAGATGGAGTGGTCTGCTGCTGGTTTAGGCTAGTTATCTTACTGGAGTCACCATGGATGAAGAAATGATTATTGAGTTGTTCTGGTTTAGAAACCCAATCTTATTAACCCACCCAGAGTTGATGGGTTGTAAGAATCTGACTCCTGAGATTATAGCTCACAAGAGACTGGTGGTTCTTTTTGCTTCCTTTCTACATTTTCTTCCTAGGTCATTTCTCTACTTCCCAAGCACTCTTTGTCTTTACACACCAGTGACCAACAGATGTCCGTAGCAGCCTGGATCTCTCTACTAAGCTTCATGACCATGAATCTAGATGGCCACTTGACATTCCCCCTGGGAGATCTCACATGCTTCTCAAATGTAATATATTCAAACTGTACTCTTGTTCACTCCATAACATCTACATTCCCACACAGAGCCACATCTAATCTATCCCTTGTTCATCCTTGTTCATTTTAGTGAATGGATGGCACCTCTTCAACCCAGTTGCTCAGGCTGGTATCTGGAAACTGCCCCTCCTGCACATCCAGTCTATCACCAAGGTCTAGTAATCCTGTTCCTAAGCATATCACAACTCTGTCCCCTTCTGTCTACTGCCACCATTCTTGTCCATATTACCATTATCCCTTGACCACATTATTGCAAAATTCTCCAACCTGGTCTCTCTGTTTCTACTTTAATTCTCCGTCTAACCCATTCTTTCCATAGCAACCAGAAGGATATTTTTAGAGCACAAATGTCATCATATCTCATCTTATCTTTATATTTTGTACCCAAAATAACTCCAAATCATCTCTGAGTGGCCTCTGCAGCCCTTTGTGATCTGGTCTGCTTCCTTCAGCAGGTCATTCCTTGTGGTCCTTCTCTCCCTTAAACCCTTTCCAATCTGTATTGGCTCTTCTGATTCTCAAACACACCAAACTCTTTGCTGTCTTCTGCCTGACAGCTTTCTCTTCATTCCATCAGCTGGTTGACTCATGGTTTCACGTAAAGTATCAGAAAAGCCTCTCTTACTCCTCTAGTCTAATGCAGCACTTAGCACAAGATGTAGTTGTGGTTTTATTTGTGTGATTACTTGTTTGTCTGTCTCCCCTCTGGACTGTAACATGAGGGCAGGAACTACTTACTACTCTATGGTGCCAGCCAGAGTGTAGGGGCTCAGTAAGTGTTTGATGAATGACTATTCATTTGTTCACTTTATAGTGATTTGTCTCCATGTTGTTCCCTTTCCTGGTGCCTGCGAAGCTGATCCAAGGAAAAGTACATGCGTGATAAACATTGACAGTTAGAACCAAAATATTTGCATGGTGTCAGGAGAAACTTTGTCCCGTGAACTTCACCACCCTCATGTCATATGAGCATCCCTCTTGATTAGATTGTGCCAGATAAACATTACTCATTTCTTCCTCCCCAGCTCTTTTTTTTTTTTAAAGATTTTATTTATTTATTTGACAGAGAGAGACACAGCAAGAGAGGGAACACAAGCAGGGGGAGTGGGAGAGGGAGAAGCAGGCCTCCCGCAGAGCAGGGAGCCTGATGTGGGGCTAGATCCCAGGACCCTGGGATCATGACCTGAGCTGAAGGCAGACGCTTAACGACTGAGCCACCCAGGCGCCCCATTCCTCCCCAGCTCTTCAGCATCTCTGCCTACTAATAGTTTGTGTGATTATGAGCCATTGGGTTGTTTCAGACAGTCAGATTGCAATACCATCGATTGCGTAATAGAATTACTCTACTACTAATAACAGTAATCACAACCACAAATGTTTATATCGTACTTTATGATTTTCTAAGTGCTCTTATGTGCATTATCTCCTTTAATCTTGGAGTCTGGGCCCGAAAACGTATCTGTGACCTCGGTTGATTTGGATGGATCCCAAGCTTTTTCTGAATCAGCTTCCATGCAGTCCATCTGTCGCTGAAGGAAGGGCTGGGCTTCAGCAGAGGGCTGATGTGGGGCTTTTTTGGGTAGTTCCATCCCGACATGGTAAACTTCTCCCCACCACATCCTCAAATTCTGGAGACTTTTACTGTATATGGCCCCAAATTTACCAACTGCCATTACTCCTAAGATTGTTAAGACTGAAAAACGAGCTAATAATAATAACAAATACTTGTTTGAGTGCTGACAATGTGCCAGACGATGTCCTAAATGCTTTACACACACACACACTAATTTATTCAGTCCTCATAACTGCCCCAACTTAGAAGACATATGTAGCATTGTTATACCTACTTCTAAAAGGAGAACTAAGACCCCAAAAGATTAAGGAGCTTGTCCCCTTGCTAATAACTGGGGAAGCTGGGACATGAACCCAGCCGACTTTCTAGACTCCATGCTCACAGACAGCATATCTGTGAATGTTTATTCTTTAATCACATTTGTTCTTTACTGACATGATTCTTTAATACACTTATCGGAATTTAAGGAGCGCTCACTGTGTGCCAGGGGTGAAGCTCAGGGCAGGAACACAGCTTGCTTCCTAGTGAGGAAGATGGGTTTGGACAAATGATCACCAGTGGGCTGTGTGTTACAAAGATGAAGGAACACTGTGGGGTAGGAGCATAGAGCAGGGGACCAAGGCTCATCTGGGGCTCAGAGAAGGCCTCTGGGAGGAGGGGACATTTTATCCAAAGCCTGGAGGCCATGCATATGTGGTCTACACTAAAGGGAGAAGGGAGACCTCCAGCAGGGCAGAGCCTTCCATGACTGCCTGAGGAACTAAGAGAAGTCCGTGCAGTGGCTCTAGAAGCCAGAGTTTCTAGAGCAGAGAAACAAGTGGAGTGAGGTGATGCTGGAGAACAAAGGGCCTGGGATTTGGTATTTTATCTAAGGATCATAAGGATTTGGTGTTTTATTCTAAGGGCCTTGGGCAACAAAAAGATTTGAGGCAGACTGCTGAGCTGCAGGGAGAAGGCGGAGGTCAGTTGGGAGGTTGCTACCGTCCCGCAGGAGAGGAAGGCTGGCTGGGAGAACAAGGGTGGGGGCAGCCGGGATCCAGGGAAGTGGATGTGGCCAAAACAGGTTTAGGAGGTAGAGTGAGCAGAACCCGGAGACTAACTGAATGTGGAGGATGGGGGGGAAGGAGGAGTCAAGGTCTCTTACTTGAGTAAAGTTTTGATAATGGAAGCAGAAATGGACAACAGAAACAGAAGCAGATTTGGGTGCAGGGATTGATGGAGTGATGGATTGAATTTCAGGGGTGTTGACACAGAAGTGGATGTGTCCAGCCAGCACTTGGCTTGTACGGGTCAGGAAGGAGGAATTGGGCTACAAAATTTCTTTGACTCTAAGGTGGACATTTTTCATATTTACGACTTTCAAAATTATGTGGCTTAAAAAGTTTGTTTAGTAAAAATAGTGTTTTAACAGTGAACTATAATTGGTGGTGTCTTAAAATAGACGATAGTCTATAAAATAAGAATATTTCATAAAAACATAACTAATTTGTATTTAATTGTGTTTTGAGATATCAGGGAAGGAAAGCCTTTAAAACACTCTTTTAGGGTGCCTGGGTGGCTCAGTGGGTTAAGCGTCTGCCTTCGGCCCAGGTCATGATCCCAGGGTCCTGGGATTGAGTCCCAGGTGGGGCTCCCTGCTCAGTAGGGAGCCTGCTTCTCCCTCTCCCACTCCTCCTGCTTGTGTACTGTCTCTCTCTCTGTCAAATAAATAAATAAAATCTTAAAAAAAAATAAAACACTCTTTTATCTTTAAAAAAAAAAAGATCCTATTTAGTAAAAGTAAAATTCAGCAGTAGCACTAATATTTGACACAAATGCCAAACTGGTACAGTTCTAGTAATGAAGCTTTAACCACAACTCTTACGGGCTTGAGGTGTCTGTTCTTTCTAAGTCTAGACCATTCCTTGCTCCTGTTTCTACCTGCAACATAATTTTGCCTACATGTTAACTTGATTACCTGTCTCTGTCTCCACATTACAAAGGTATGTTTTGTCAACCTTGTATAGAATAATGTGCTTTTGAAATTCAATCCGTCATCCCTTTTCCCTGAGTGTAAAATGATGAACCTTTTCCTGTAACTGTGGCCGTGTGTCCCATACCCACCCCCACCCCACAACCCGCCTCAGCCACATAGGTGGGGCAAGAGCTAAAGAAAGTACCATTAGTTTAAGAGAAGAAAAAGACTTAGCAACATCCCTTTCTCAAATCCTACATCATTTAGTCCCTAAGTTGTTTTTTGGCCCATATACTGTCTTCTATTGTTAATTTAATATTCATAACTGTGTATATAACCTTCCCAATTAGATTTTTGCTTAGCAGGGAAGCAAACCACCAGAGCTACTCCCTACAATCTTTGGTTCCAGAGTCTTTACCTGGTTTTCTGCTCCACTTCCACCAGATCATTCTGGATCCTTCAATTAAGGCCTAGGTCTCACACAGACCACCACTTAGTACAACCCAAGCTCAAGGGAATTTTTATTGCAGCAAAATACACATAGCATAAAATGTACTGTCTTGACCATTTTTAAGGGTACAAGTCAGTGGTATTAAATAGATTCATCATACTATGCAACAATCACCACCATCCATCTTACAAATTTTGTAAGTCATCCTTGTGCAGGGGTCATGCTATGCTTCTCTGTATTATTCCAATCTTAGTATGTGTGCTGCTGAGGCAAGCACTCTCAAGAAAACGTTTAAAAACAAAACTTTACTTCCTAACTTGTCTATGAGGCCAGCATTCCCCTAATACCAAAACCAGATAAAAATACTACAAGAGGGCACCTGGGTGGCTCAGACGGTTAAGCGTCTGCCTTCGGCTCAGGTCATGATCCCAGGGTCCTGGGATCGAGTCCCGCATCGGGCTCCCTGCTCCTTGGGAGCCTGCTTCTCCCTCTGCTTCTCTCTCTCTGTCTCTCATGAATAAATAAATAAAATCTTTAAAAAAAAAATACTACAAGAAAGAAAATTACAGACCAATAACTCTCATGAACATAGGTGCAAAAATACTCAACAAAATATCAGCAAGTCAAATCCAACAACATATAAAAAGAATTATATACCACAACCAAGTTGGATTTATTCCAGAAGTGCAAAGCTAGTTCAACATTTGAAAATCAACCAATGTAATCCACTACATCAATAGACTAAAGAAAAAAATTACATGATTATATTGACTGATGCAGAAAAAACATTTGGCAAAATCTAACACCTCTTCATTATGAAAACTCTCCACAAACTAGGAATAGAGAGAAACTTTCTCAACATGATAAAAAAAGAAAGCATCTACAAAAACCTACATCAAACATCCTACTTAATTGTGAGAAACTGTATACTTTTTTTAAGGTCAGGAAAAAGTCGAGATGTCCTCTCTCACCACTCCTAATTAACAACATACTGAAACTTCTAGCTAGTGCAATAAGACAATAGAAGGAAATAAAAGGTAAACAGAGCGAGAAAAAGCACCAAAACAAATCTTTACTCAGAAACAAAGGTAGGCACCTCAAGTCCCTTTTAGAATTTGTAGACTTTCTTTATTGCATATTTGTTTTCTGTTTCAAACATATCTACTCTTGTTTTACTATTGCCTTGCTTCTATTTCCTTGAGTTTAAGTTGCTGTTCTTTTTCTAGCTTCTTAAGATGGAAGCTAAAATCATGTGTACTTTCAATTTTTGTTCTTCTCAAGTATATACACTTAAAGCTATGAATTTCCCTTTGAGCCCTGCTTTATCTGTACCTCAGGCATCTTGATATGTCACATTTTCATTATCATTCAGTTTAAGATAGTTTATAATTTCACTGCCATGTTTTCTTAGACCTAGAAGCTATTTAAAAATGTGTTGCTTAATTTTCAAACACGTGGAGGTTGTCTAGTTATCTTCCTGTTATTAATTTCTAGTTTGATTCCACTGTGGTCAAAGAACACATTTTGGATGATTTCACTCCTTAGGAATTGTTTGAGACTTGCTTTATGGCCTAGCAGATGGCCCATGTTGGTAAGTGTCCATATGCTCTCACAAACAGCATGTATGTGGCAGTTAAGTATAAAGTTCTGTATATGTCAATTATGTCAATTTGACTATTTGTGTTGTTCAGGTTTTCTATATCCTTGCTGATTTTTTGTCTGCTTGTCTTATCGGTTATTTAAAGAGGTGCTAAAATCTCCTGTAAAGATTGTTAGTTTATCTATGTCTTCTTTTAGTTCTGTCAGCTTCGCTTAATATATATTGGAACTGGGCGCCTGGGTGGCTCAGATGGTTAAGCGTCTGCCTTCGGCTCAGGTCATGATCCCAGGGTCCTGGGATCGAGTCCCACATCGGGCTCC